AACACCTAGCGCCAATGGCCAAGACTACCTCCTAGGAGGCTATGCGCCATCCAGCCCAGTTAACCACATCCAACGAAACCCAAACAACCCTAGCTTTATAGACATTAGCACGCCAAACAACTCCCAAAGAATCAGAGAAACCCAGCCTCAAGCCAAAAGACAAAGAAGCAACCAATCCTTGAACTTAACCTCAAAATACGCCCTCATGTCCCACCCAGAAACCTCCGATAACGCAATTATAGCATCTAGGTCCCTTCTGTGTAAGGCGATTGAGCTTGAAGACAACCAGCCCAAGATACTCGCTCTCATGGACCTACTCAACCTCTTCCGGGACTATACCGAGGGAAAACCACTCAAAAACACAATTACCACCCTTACCAACTCAGTCAACAACCTAGAGAACATCGCAAGGCGCCTTCCTAAAAGAAGCTACGCATCGGTAACCACAAACAACAAATCTACCACAGACACAGACACAGACAATAGTACTCAAGGCCTCATAGACCGGCAACTCAACCACGCTCCTCCTCAAAAAACAAACATGGACAAGAAGAGAGACGCTTTTAAAAAAGCTGCTACTGAGAAAAAGAAAGCCATTAAAGCCCAGCGTCTCATTCTCATCGAAGACCACCTTCAACCATTTAGCGACTTACAACCAAGGACGAGGAAGACGAGAACGAGGAAGTGTAGCGTACAGGGCGTGAAACGAGGGGGCGTACTACAACACAACAACTTTTCTTTTGTCATAACCAGAAGCCTAGCTGCTTCCAACAACCCAAGGACTGTAATGACCATAACCCCCTTCTCAAACATGTATTTAGTACAGCTTTACTCATCTGTTGGAGGGAAACCCCCAGCCGTGCTACTATAGTCTCAGACTCACACAGCACATTAAAAGGAATAATAATAATAATAATAATAACTTTTAATTTATTATTTATATACCTTTATTCTAATCTATATAGTTAGTTATAAATTAAGCTTAAATAGTTTAAGTTAGTTTATTTTTATTAGTTTAACTCTAACTTAATAGAGCCGAAAGATAATAAGGTGTGAGAGGCCAGACCTCGAATAGCTCAAAGGTGTGGTTTCGAATATTCAATTAAGAAGTGCGTGAAGACTACATACATGCAATCTCTTCCTCTATATATAGAAAGAGGAAGAGTTTCTGGAGTCTTCCAAGAAACTGTTTGACAAATACGTGACGTCAAAAGAATAGAGTAGAAAAGTGTAGAAAAGGAGAAACCAATTTAGCAGTGGAGCAATGGCCAATGCTGAGCGGGGACTTTGGTCAGTGCTTAGCGAGGGCATGGCCCGAGCCTCCATCATGGGTTCCAACCCTCACATAAGGAAAGTATTAATATAAGGCTAATAGTTTAGTATTGAATATATTATATTATAAAGACTAAGTTATTAGTTATATATAACTATTCTTAGAGCCGGAAGGGTAGAATAATTAACCAAGGCTAACTAGCTAGCTAGACTAAAGATATACCGATACTAAGTATTACGTACCTAATATCGTTTACGTAGTAAAAAGACGGTCGCTTACGTTATTGCTTACGCTAAACCCTTATTTCTAATATTATTTAAGCCTTCTCTCTTAAATCCCGCCTTTCTTTATCCGGTTCTATCTTGTTAAATAATCTATTATTCTCTCCTTTCCTAGGGGTAGGGATTAAGAGAGGAGAGGATAGGAGATCTAAAACACTGAAATTTATCGAGATAAAAAAAGAAAGTAGTATTCTTAGTATAACGTCTCTGTTACATATGGTTCGGTTCACGTGCTAGCTCGCTTATCTAGCCGAGTACTATATGGAGTAAGGGATAATTTTAGGGGATCAAATTGTCAAAGTTTGATTAACTATTTACATGCTCCTAAAACAGCCTCTATAGCGTACAAACAAAGCCAGAACTGCCTAACCCTAGACTTAACTACTAGAGTTCTAACCTCCTCGGCCTGCTCCACGACCTCTACCGCCCTGACCACGACCATGTGCTTGACCTCTAGCCTGTGGTGATTCACTACGTCTCCTAGCAGGTTCCGTGACATCGGTGATTTGTGGAGGGGAGCGCTCTCTGTACGAGCCGGATCTAGTATTCTCCCTGTGTGATTCCCAGAGCTGGGCGCCTGTCCACAAATTGCCAAAAAAGGACTGCATGTCTGGTCGGGTATTTCCAGGAGCTATTCCCATGGGTTGAAAGGAAAGGGGATTGCCATATCCAGGTGGAGGGGCCTGGTGGAATCCAGGAGCAATCGTAGGTTGATTGGTAAATGCCATTGGCGCTGGTGGAGGGGCCTGCTGGAATCCCGGAGCAATCGTAGGTTGATTGGTAAATCCCATTGGCGCTGGTGGAGGGACATCGCTGTAATAATATCCTCGCTCCAAGGTGTCCTCGATATTCAAAGGTGTCTCCGATTCACCCATACCAAAGTGGTAGAAATGTTGATTCCAGCCAGCAGATGTTGAGAATGTCTTGTCTGCCTTATCCACATTCTGGCTCCAGGAAGGGTCTGGAATAGAAAGGTTAAATGGCTGAGTCCCTAAGCTTTGTTCTTGTTGTAGAGCAAAGCGTCCGGTAAGAGGAAGAAGGTCGGCTTCAGACCATGCCTTGAAATCCAAATCCCAAATATGCCAAGGGCAATATAACGCTGGACGTCCTCGCCGTAGCTTGATGAAAAAATAGGCTGCCCGCTGAACCGTTCTGTCGTTTCTATGACAGGTTCTAGCATTCTGATCTTTAGTATTACACCAAGGACACGCGTTGATATATCCGTTAGTATCGAGGGGTCCCGTACAACGCTCGACCGTGTGGCCTGTCTGCTGGCAGTTGCCGCATTTCCATTGCGGTTGCGGTTGTTGAGGTAGAGGTTGCGATTGCTCTTGCTGAGGTTGCTGTTGCTGAGGTTGAGGTTGAGAGGTTGACGTTTGTGAAGGTGGAGCCCAGAGAACCAAAGCTGTTCATGGCGATGGTGGAGTAGTTAAGGGGCTCTGAGTTCCAGCGTGCGAAGCTGGATCGTCGTCGCCGGACATCTTGAAAGTGCTAGTTGCGATGTGTAGAGGAAGTGGAAGGTTACGCTACTCGATAAATACAAATAATACACCCCTCCCTTGGCCCAGCGCTAGTCTGGTAGTGTCTCTTCTCATGCCGCTAGTGAATGTATTACTTCATTCACTGGGACATTCTTGTCTTGTTTACGTATTCTAGAAGTCTTTCTTCAAGAAAAATACATGTATACTAGTAAGCAAAAACACCTCAAGCTTCCTTTAAATGCAAAAAGACAAAACAAAATCGCTAATCCCAAAATAACCTCCCTTACTACATATTCAAATATACAAAACCCACCCCTATCCAAATCCAACCTACAATTTAACCTTCTCTCCCCTCAAAGCCTCCCAATCCCCTCGCTTGAACCGGACATACGTCCCGCCCTGCAACCACCAAACCTCATCACCACCCACCTTGTCGGGATCCACACCTTGCATCCTCAAATGATGTTTCTGCTGTTTATTCGTGCCCGTGACACCCATATCACTCATCAATCTCAAGAAGACGGGGACGGCGAATTTGGGAAGACGCTGTTGGCAATGATGTGCAAGTTCATGCATCAGACTGTCAGTGACGGGCGTGTTGAGGACGAGTGCCACACACCCCGCTCTCCCATCATGATGTGGGAGTTCGACGCCGTAGACGTTGGCTTCTTGCACCGCGGGATGAAGACCGAGAGCTTCGGAGACTTCGTTGGTTGATACGTTTTCTGCTTTCCAGCGGAAGGTGTCACCAATTCTATCACTGAAGAAACTCCGTCCCTCATCATCCCAGATTATCATATCACCCGTTCTGAACCATGCATCTCCCTTGGTCAGTACATCCCTCGCAATCTTGCTCTCGTTTGCCCTTTTATTATTGAAATACCCCTGGAAAGAAGTTGAGATATCTTTAGGATCCAGTTTGAAGACCAGTTCTCCTGGTTCGCCTGCTTTGACTGATTTGCAAAGACCAGTTTTCGGGTCGCGATATGGTTTTTCAGTTTCCCAATCCAATTCTAAAAGCACGGCTCCGGAACCGGTAAGTAACCTACCCAATGTACCTACACGCCCCACAGCTCCCTTTCCAAAATCGTTACGAGAGAAGTTCCAAGAACCGGCTGTTCCTTCGGTAGCAGTATAGAATTCGGCAATTTCTGAAATCCCAAATCGTTCTTTGAAGCGATTCCAGATATCCGGACGTAAACCATTGCCAAATGCCATTCGAACGCTATTCTTCCGGTCCAGGGTTTCACCTGTAACCGGATCGAGGAGTGGTGGTGCGGCCAGGAGGTATCGACAGGTTTCCCCAACATATTGAATGACCGTTGCTTTTGAGGAGCGACAATCTTCCCAGAAGAGTTTGGTGGAGAATTTACGCCCGATGCAGATTGTGCCGCCATTTATCATGACCATCATTGCTCCGAGGATGGAAGCTGAGGCGTGATAGAGAGGCATGCTCTGGGATCAGTTAGTAGGGGTTGGAGGGCGGTGACAGTAAACTTACGGTGTAGAATATATCTGTTTCCTTGAATCCGTTCCATCCGGGAATAATGAGGGAAGCCTTTACAACTTTATTCCAACTGACAATTGCTCCCTTGGGTAGACCTGTGGTTCCACTGGTAAAGATAATCATAGACAAACTCGACATATTATTCTCCGAACGATCCGAGTTTGGTACTCGTATTGGTTGGGTGAGGATAGCTTCATTCTCCAATTCCGGTGTAAAGATAGAAATCGTGACTTCAGGCAATGCATCTCGAACCTCCTGGGTAATGTTATCTCCTACTTGGGGATCCACTAACAATACTCGGGCTGTTGATACATTAATACAATGCACCAACGCTTTGTCGGTAAGATTGTAGTTGATAAAAGCTGGCTTCGCTCCAATCGACCATAACCCCAACCAGATGAAGATGTAATTTTCCGAATTCATGAAATCCATAGCCACAATCTCTTTAGCTTGCACATGATATTTTGCCTTTATCCAGGTTCCATATCTCAAGGCATTTTGGTATACATCGTTGTACGTCCATTTTCGTCCTCCAAATATCAAATATACCTTATCGGCCAAACTTCCTTTGGCATATGCTTCGAGATCGTAAAAGGGATTTAATTTGTCGTTGCTCAATCGTGTTTTCAGACCACTTGCAGCTCTCGCAGCTGGACCGAGTAATCGAAGATCATAAGAAAATCCGGTTCTGGCGTTCAGATAGGCTAAAGTAGCAATGGCAGCGGGTACGGCGAGTGGGAGTGGAACTAGGGGTGTCTTAGTTTAACGGCAATGCGTCGGTCTAGTTGCAATACTAACCTGGCATGGTTTTGACAGAAACGGGGGACTAATTTGGTGAAAGCTGAAGCGGCTGCTGTGGAAGGTGAAAGTGAAAAAGGAGGTTACTCAAGTCAAGGACCGGTAGCTAGAGCGGAGCCGTTCCGGTAGTCGTACGTATGTTTTGCAGAGCAGAGGCAAAAAAGCAAAAGATGCTCGACAGGGAAGAGAGCGGGGAATCAGAGAACTGGATTTTGGAATCTGGGGGAGGTGAGTGACAAAGTTGCATGTGCCTCCAGTTTGACAGTACTCGTACTGAGATTGGAATTGGGATAGTCAATTGGGTGAGTTCTCCCCCTTGAAATCTGGATACTCGTATTGGATACTTTGCTGCATTCACCGGTCCCGTTGAAGGACACGTCTCAAGCATACTGACAGTTGTTGGACTCCGCCCTTCCGAACCTTGAACCTTCGGGAGGGGTGAAGTGGTTGAGTTGGTCGGATGTGGATTTCGCAACGTGCCGAGGCATGAATCCACCGGTCTTTGGGCGTCTGGCCTAGTTGGGCCCAGGAGCTCCCTACCCCAGCTTGAACCTAAAGTTGATGAAAACATCGGTGCGGACTTTTCGGAGAAACCACGAGATACAGAGGGAGGATGAGATGTGAGAATGGAACTTGGAACGATGATGCTTGAATGCCTCTTTGCGGAGAAAGTTGGTGTAATCCACAGTCATATAACATCGGGTAATTCTTGTAAGGAAGAAAGTTAGTCCGACGGCAGTTGAAGAGAAGCTTTTCACCTTCCGCAACAAAAGTGGCACTGACACTTCACAGCGCAACTTGGGCGTTGATAATTCTCGAATTGATACAGTATAAACTGATTCAGATTGGGGTATAAATGCGAAATGATGAATTAGGGCTAGCCCCAATTATCGTCTGTTCAGTTATCAAGTACTAACATTAGGTGTTGTATCACAACCTTGCTGAGCCGCATACTAACACCCGTCGATCAGCACCTACTCTTGGTACGGAGGTACAGTACCAAGAATCCACAAAAACAAACCTCCGCCAAATCCTCATCCTCCACTCGCAATGGCCACAATGACAACGTCGTGATAGTTTGTCAGAAGATCCCGTCATGAGCTAAACCAACATCCACGCCCACAAATGCCACCTTCGACAATAACAGCATGTCAGCATCAGCGCATGCTACTCCAATGGTCCGACCTCGTGTCGAAAGTGCAAGTGTCCCCAACGAGGTACAATCAACCACCGACGATGCGCCAGTCAATGCCGTGAATGCTACGCCCAAGAAGAAGGAACCACCACCTGAGAAGCCAGAGCATATTCGATTGAGGATTTTGGTCATTTCGTCATGGTGGGCGATTATTATGTTCCTGGGCCTGCCCGTATGGTGGTATACAACTACCATCTACAGGGCGTCACTGCCACTGGATGAAATGAGGGATTGGGCAGATGGTAGAGTGTGTGCCAGCAATTGGATTGACAGTTTATATACTAATATAAGTAGGTCTGCCGTCCAGTTTTCCCACTACGAATTTCAATCGAGGCAGATTCTCTGCAAGATCACGAATCGCAACATCTTCTACGAACGACTCAACATGCCCTCGATGACTTGAATGATTTCTCGGCGCATCATCTACGATTACAACTTTCTCCCCCCACCAACGCATCCGTATCTGCAAATGGGATATCAGTCGAAGGAGGGGATGAAGAGGTGGCATTAAAGATACGATTATTACCTGGCACAGAAACCAAGATTGATCTACAAGCATACTCTCCAATACTCGATGTTTACTACACTCCCAATCAAATACCCTCAAGCTCTTCTTCATCATCCTCCCTCGCCACATCCATCGCAAATAAATTGAGGGAATTGTTTGCAGAAGAACAGGCTATGATAGCATACCTATTATCAACCAGTTCTGCTCCACCAGAACGAAGTCCCAAAGCATTGGCACCAGAAGTCACAGATTCATTAGCAAAATGGACAACTCGATCCATGAAATATTCTCGTACATACCATCTCACATTCTCACTTTTCACACCCACTGCTGTCCCATCATCATGGGATATTGAAGCCGCATTGGAGGAACATATGAAACCTCTTCTAGACAGCTTCTCCTCCATCAGCAACTTCACAATCGATACACAAGTCCAACTCTACGCTACTCCAGGAGTTAGTGGTTCAGTTCTCAAGAAAGCAGACTTGAGTGGTTTTATCAACGCTGCCGAATGGCCATTAAGTCCCAGCATTGGAGGTGCCCCAACCGTAAACTTTATCGTTTACGTAGGAGACATGGAAGTCGAAGGTGGCGGAAAAAGTTGGTTGATTCCCCAATGGGGAGGAGTAGTAATCCAATCCGACATCACCGACCTCCGACCCGCAATGCTGATCTTCTCAAACCAACTCATGTCCCTCCTCGGAGCCCCAGAAACCGGTTCTCTCCCCCTCCGTCTTCTAACACTCATCCGCGTCCGCTCTGCCGGCCTTCTTCTCAAAGCCTCGGGAACAATGGGAAGTCTGGCTCGATTATCAGACGCCCTTCGCAGTATCAGTATTCCAAAGAGTGTCGCGGACGGTGTATACACCACTATCGAACATCTGAATCAAGCTTGTGAGGGTCTGGGTGGAAAGGAAGGACTAGAGAATGCCAGAATTGCAGAGGAGGCTGCGGAAAAGGCATTTTTTGAGAAGAGTATGGTGGGCCAGGTATACTTTCCTGACGAGCATAAGATTGCGGTTTACATGCCACTTCTTGGGCCCGTGGGCGTGCCGCTTGTCATGGGGGTTCTGAAGGAATTCAAAGCGTGGAGGAAGAGGAGGATGGGTGGGGTATAGTTAGGATATAGGATCTTATATTTATGATTGTCTTTGCCCTCTTGTCTTGGACTGGTTTTGATGGTGATGTGATGATGATGAGGTGGGTATCCATAAGTACAAGAACGTAGATATCCAAGTACTACATCCAGCCGTACAGTATATATATCCACGGATTGCGTGAGTAGTCAACAAGCATCAAATTGCGTAGTCGTAATTACCTCCCTTCGAACAAGCACGACTCCAGAAACTAGCTAGATGAGAGACAAAAGCAGAGAGGCCGATAGATACTCTACCATAATTCAATCCCGGTTTCTTCCTAGGTATCTTACAGTACAGATATATTCTTTTCGAAATTCATTCTCCTATCCACATTTCTCATACCCGTTTGGAATATAGATGCTTCAGAGTAAAGTAGTTAAGAGACTTTATGGTTCGTAAGATCTTACGTTGGGGGATGTAAGAGAGGCGGGCAGGCGGGCGGGCATTACTCTGTAAAGTACTGTACACCCCTGAGTGATAAAAGGATTATCCAAAAGACCTTTACAATAATATTGATTATACGAATAGTTTTGAATAATTGATATTTTTTCACTCCTTGTTAACCTAGGTAGGTAAAATGGGATAGTTATAATTATGTTATGTCAGAGTGTTAGGATGATAAGTTAATAGCGTATATGGAGCAATGATTAGGCTTCTTATCTAGTTCTAGTTCGGTTGAGTCTTGTATAGTTTAGTTTAGTTTAGATTAGAACAGATGCTTTGTTCTTATTAACTGTCCTTTCTTTTTGCGAATTTGCGAAGTGCTTCCTGGAGTTCCTGGACTTGATCTGATGTAAGATATCTAGACATTGCTCTATCCACGCTATTAAAAGTTATCATACCAAAAGTCTGGCACAAGTAACTTCATTGTCCCATTTCACCTAGCACAATCAGAATTGAAAAGTAAGAATTGTTCCAAACTATTCGTACAATTGATTTAGTTGTATAAGGTCTTTGGGATAGTATTTTTATAACCTAGGGGTGGACGGAGTAACGCCCGCCTCTCTTACATATGTTGGCGATGTCTGTGTATGTAGATCGAGAGGGCTGGTTAGGAGATATTTGGATTTGGATTTTGTACTATTTTAGGATCATATTAGGAAGGGGTTGTGTTTAGTAGAAGGCCACCCATCACTAGAGGGGAGCAGGGTGGGATCCGGATTTTCTTGCTTTGTTATGATGAAGTGGTATATAGGAAGGATCTTAGATTCATAAGTACCTGCTTTTATATTAACGGAAATGATATCTATGGAGACTTAGTGGGTGGAATGAGGGGTTGGTGAGGGGTTTGTGAAGAGGAATAGGGGATGGGATGGGTTACGGGGTTTTATAGTGAAGTAGAAAGGAAGGAAGGAAAAGGTCTTAGATCTATAAATATAAGCTTTTATATTAAGGGAGATGATGGCGGTCGAGGTCTAGGCATGGACTTGGACTTAGTGAGTAGTAAGCGAAATTATAGGGAAGACTTAGTTAGTGAAGAGGGATACGGGATGGGATGAGATTTATATGATATTAGCGAGGGAGGGGAGGGGGGATTAAAACAGGTAGGTGGCTCTTGTAAGAGATGTGGTCGTTACTTTATACACCTACTAGTTAACCTAGGAGTATATAGAGATCAAATCTTTATAAGTGAGATACGAGTGTTCTGATTCTTAGAGAACACATCACGTATAGGAAAACTATTTTTAACCTTCATACTTCATTATCACAAGTTACACTACTATCTGTATCTACACAAGTCCATCTATCACCCATCCATCACCCATCCATCACATCCCAATGACCAAGCTAACCACCCACCCCAGCTTTCCTTTCCCATCCATCCATCCATTCCATACCAGCTATCAACAAATTCTCCATTTTTCCATCCATTTCTTTGCTGCGCCCTAGAAAGCGCCCTCAAGGTCCATGTTCAGTCCAGTCCCATACACCATGACCATCAAACGCCCTTCCATCCATCCATCCATCGTCATACCAGACACCCGTGCATGCAAACTTCCATCCATATCTACCAAAGGAAGAGCTTCTCGAGAAAGAAACAAGAAAGGAGAGAAAAGAAAGGTACATAATACAATAACAGATAATCCGCACAAAAGCGCTGTCTGTCTGTATCGTGATCCATAAAAACCATGTGATGATGTGTGGTATCAAGACCTCGTAAAAGAAAACCTGACGCTTCCAAAGAGATCCTGATACCAAGATTCGAGCGTTCCAGCTTGTCTATAAACAGCGATTGTTACGTGATAGCGACGATGATTCTATTCTTGTCTAGTTCTTTAAGCAAAGTAGACCAAGATGTGAAGAATCAAAGGTGTCTCTATTGTATCTATACCAAATCCTGTTTGAACTTTGTTGTGCTGTAGACGCTGTATTTTGACTACTTGAATCTGTATCGTGTGTGTCATCCTGAAATCTTGTCCGATATAAAGAATGACCGATGATCGAGATCCAAAGATAAACTCCATTCAAAAATTATAGTCCACCCCATCTGCACGAGGCGCACCACCACGTTGATAGCGATTCGCCTGTAGAACCTGACCAGTGGGCGACAAAACCTGACCTCGGCCATGGTCACCAGTCACGTACTCAAGCGGTGGAAGCATAGGAGCACGATGATTCCGAACCGGCTCGCGTTCACGCTCCATACTTGAGTCTCTAGTCGAATCACCACCGCCAAACTGCTTTCTGCCCACTCTGCCGTTTCGGAATTGATCGCCGGGGTATTGGAGGGGTGAGATGGGTGAAAGTGGAGGGATTCCTTGAGGACGGACTTGAGAATGTTCTCTGCTGGGATTTCGGCTTCCATCGTAGACTAGTTGGCCTGGATGAGCGGCTGCTTGTTCGGGGTGGTAGCCAGGGTGATTTGGTGGAACGGGAGGGGGTGATCCAGTAGCTGGTGAACGTCGGCTGCGTGATGGTGCTCTGACTTGCTGCTCAACTGGACTAGTGACATACTCTCGGAGAGCAAAGCTGTTTTCAGCAACAGGACTGATGAGATGTTCGCGTGAAGGTGCGGTGCGATTTTGGGTGCGCATTGGAAGCTTCATTTGTTGGTCGACTGGACTGCCATATTCTTGTGGAGAATTCGATGCATGACGGTCACGACTTTGATCTCGACTTCCCTCTCGACTGTGATCGCGGTTGTAAGAGCGAGGATGTCTTTTGCCTTGAGCGGATTCTCTTCCGTAGCCGTGTTCACTGCCGGTGCTTCTTGTTTGTCCATACTCACTTCCCTGACCATACTCGCTACCAGTTCTACTACTTTGATACTCGCTGCTATGTCCATAGTCATTTTCTTCTCGGATTGGCCATTCATTCAGTTTTTCAATTCCGGGTGAATAACCACTATAAGCGGAACTTATACTGTCATGCTCATTGACAGATTGAGATCGTAGAGTTCGGGCTTGAGAGGAGACACTGCTCGTGGGCGGGGACATCATTGGGCCAGTAGGTGAACGAACAGGAACTGGTCGCTCGTTATCACCAAACAAAGTTCCACTAGCGGCAGTTCTGAGAGCTGGTGGCACGACCTGTTCACTGGAGTCTGATTCTACCCAGGTTTTTGGTACAGTCCAGCAATGACTGAGTTCATGACGAGACCAATCCTGGATTGGGAGAACATTCTTCCAAGGTGGCATGGCTTCCGTTGGGCCAACGGGAGTACATAAATGATATTGAACACCATCTGTATAGCAGAGAGATTGCGTATCCACAGAAATTGTTGCCAGTGCTTGCAGAACTCCATATATCAGGACCCATCTACCTCTTCGTGCCGCAGCTAGATCTCCATCCTCGACCGGATCATTCTTTTCAAAATTGAGAAAGTTCTCAATCAGGTCATTGTTGACAAAATCTTGGCCAAGTAGAAAGACATTGGTCGCGTCAGTATATGCTGAAGCCACTTTTCGAAAAGCCATCTTGTCCTGAGCTCCATTAGGTTTCTTGCCGCCATTCTTGTTGGCACCATTCTTCGCGTTCTTGAATGGATTGTGTGCATCTTGCAAAGCCTTGGGCTCCAAGCAATAAGGATGTGGGAGATGAGGATACTGGAATCGGTTGTCGAATGCAACCAAAATATCCGTGATTGGAAGATCCGGTGTATCTGCGAGGAATGCTCTGTTATTTTGATGAACCATATTCCACTTTCTGGAGCTTCTTTCTTCTGCCATATCCCATATAACTTCACGATTGACGAGATAATCATAAAGGCCACCAAAGTCCTCCTGAATCTTCTTGACTAGCAATCTCGTAAGCCAAATCTCATCGCTATTGGAATTGGTAGTTGGCCAGGATCGGTGGTTGGACTTGTAGTACTGATGGAAAAATCCCTGAGCTCTCTTGAAACTAGTTCTCGAAGATTTACCGGAACCCATGTCTGGCCACATGTCGTCAAAGTTGAATTCCAGTAAACGCTCTTGACAAGCGCATACGAGGTTGTAAAGTGCCAGGTCCTTGTTTTCCATATGAGCTCTGGTGACGTGCGATACATTTCGCCATTCAGGCAACTCGGACATTTGATTATACATGCCAACTCCATGAACGAATGCCTCTTTCCAGCCCTCCTTCCAACGAACACCTGTACCCTCACTCCAAGCCAAGATGGCGCAAGCTTTGGCAGGATTGTTTCGGCAGTCCATTCCCACATTTTCCTTGATCCAGTCAATGATTTTGCCCGCACAATCAACGTCGACACTCATCGTTACCTCCATTCGCTCGTGTAGATCAGCAAGTGCTTGAAGAAAGCTAAAGCCAATCATACTTCCTTTATAGGCCAACGCGATGAGATTGCGACTGGTGATTTGGTGGCGAAGTGCATCTTGAGCAGAAAGATGGGGAGGTGGAACCAAATCGACCGTATAGTGAATTGTCGGACTCATTGATGGGGTCTTTCGATGATCCACCGTTCCTTTGTCAAGAAGATCGCTGAGAACAACAGATCCAAGTTCTTCAAGAGCCCATGAGTGGACTCGCATGACTGGGGTGTGCTGTGAGGAGTCTGGGGCATTGAGATAAACATAAGTGTCTCCATCATCCAAGAACAAACTTTTATCTCTTCGAATGTTGTAAAGCCATGGTTCACTTTTCTGACCAAACCATGACATGATAGGTTGACTTCTTGATTGTGTCTTGAAATGGTAATCACCTCCTGGAAGCTCCGAAAACTTTTGTGGTTGCCGGCCATGTCCACCTGAATCCAGCTCTTGAGAATCCGATCGAATGGCCATGGCTGTAGCTAATGTTCTGTCTTCTGTCTTGGTCTTTTTCTTTTTGCCAAACGTCTTTGCGAGATTATTTCGGAAATTGTCACTCTTTTCATCTAACCTCGCACGAAAATTTGATTTTTGTACGGCCGTCTCGTTGATGGTGGGCGTGGGTACTTTTTTTGCTCGTGCATACATAGAATGCTGAAACATAGGGTCTTCGAGGTGATCTGAACCACTTGAACCGCCTGTTCGAATGGTCTGAAAGTCCCCTTGAACGGGTGATGTACAATCGAGCTCAGGTTGGTAAAGGTTTGAACCATCGCCATTGATGCTACCTACACCCGGTGGTCCTGGGAACTGTCGATAAATGGAAGGATCTCTATCTGAACTATGGGAGCTTCCTACTGGCGCATGGCTGGTACTTGACTTGACGACAACCTTTGTCTTCTCCTTACGCACGATAGCGCTTCGACCCGACATGATGACTGTTTATTCGCTTGCAATTTCCATATGTTGTTGAAGGTCGTGACGAATGAATTAATCGAGACGGATTGTTGCGAAAGATGGTGTGATGTGGGATGGAGGGGTTGTTTCTTTTTTGTGAGCGACTCATCCAGGTGTGGAGGGGTTGTAGATCCGAGGCGCAGTACCGTGCTGTAACCACCCGCTTGGTACCTCTCGGGGTGCCTCAACTTTAAATCGACTTTAAACTTTTGAGGATTTGATCGAAAGCTAACATTCAGTGTTTGACTCTTTTTGCGGTTCTAAAAAAAGTGAATGGCTGGTATGAGAAAAATGACGACTGGATTGAAGCTGATGGTGAATCAACAACTGTTGCCGCTGACCCGAGTCGAAGAAAAAATTGATATTGGTCACTTCACCTTCACCGTCGTCTAAAAGACACCCACAAATTAGCTGAATTTTCTTTGTAAGATTTCGTATGCTAAGCTTCTGAAAAAGTCTGCTCAGGTGGATTCTCTGTACCACTTACCTCAATGATTGTCGTTATCGCTGCCCAATCAATTTCCAAGTACTGTAACAGGTACAAAGGCGCTGAAGTAGGTACCGAGAAAAAGCGTGGAAGAAGAGATTTGGCGTCAAAGGGCGGAGGGGAGGCGCCAGTAGCAGTAGTCGAAAGGCGAGGGAGAAGAAGAAAGTGGTGAGAGGATGCTTTTGGTGGTGTACGCCAACCAAAAGTTGTGGAGGACCCTTGACGTTATATGAGATGCGAATGTGGGATTTGCATCTGTTGTCTCGCCAGGGTTGATGGTTTGATAATGGACAAGCAAGGCTTGACTTGAGATGGTGCTTCAGGTGAGTCGGGCGGCGGCAGTGTATTTTGGTGGAAAAAACAAAGCATATGAAGGCTGCAACTTTTTGTAGAAAAAAGGGCAGCGTTATGGTGGTGGGAGAGGTGCTGCGAATCGGCCTTTGTTATTGCCGACACCTCGCGTAAGGTATTGATTGGTCGGCTAGATTATCAACCACGGCGAATCTACGAACCTTCGAACCTGACTGGATGACCGAGTCCAAGTTGGGTGAGATGCGTTCAAGGTGAGGTTGTCTAGTGTCGAATGCCGCAATAAGAATGACAGCAAAGGTTACTCGGGTGTGGGTGAGGCGAGGACGAATCTAGGTCGGCGGTGCTATTCTAGGCGTGGGGGGAGGACCGAACCGCCTGTCAGATGGGTTCAATCGAACCTTAGGTGTTCGCTTGTTCCAACGTCACTTGGTCACACAGCAGAAAACTGTAACTGTATCTGTACCTTCAAAGGTCGAGGGAAGTATCTCTTTCTCTCCAGCTGGAAATGGGACTCGACTTCTCATATATTGCCAATGCTTTGCTAGGCGGCCATGCCCGCAATCGTTGGTTTCGGTACATTGACAGGGTCCAGCTCTCGGTTCCTGTGAACCTGTCAAAACGAGCCCACTCCGTCAACCTATCCACTTTCCTACAAGGCCATCGGCCCCTTGAACCTAAAGAGGCCCCGTCAAGAGTCCCTGGAGACGACATCAGCCATTCCATATGCAAAGAGATGGGACTCTTCGATAGTGATGACATGGATCTTGAACGTCCGGTCGTGGCGTTTGGTGGGGTGAGAAGAACCCTTCCAGGGTCCCTAGATACCAACCGAACCTAGCACTAAGCTAGAAACACCATAGACCAGCCCTTGGGCTGCCGTGAAATTGCTTGCTGACGGCAGCTGCCTCTATGCCATGTTACTGGCCATCAAGTCCGGTTAGACGGTTTATATGGCCGTTATGTAGCACTGATAGGTGATGAGGCTGGGCCCTAGTAAGGAACTAACCAGGCGAGAGCTTGGCCCGGTTCCACTCTGATCAAGTCTTGTCCTTTTCTGCACGGTTTGTGGACAACTATTGTCGAAATCTCCGTTTTGGTCCTTTCGCATATGGAGTACAAAGTACTCGGTACACAATTAACATCACCACAGCATTCATCTCCGTATTCTCTTGATGGCTTTGTAAACTGGAGAGTACATGGAGGAATACCCTTTTCAGCTCCAGACCAGCCTGGAATCCCATTTGTGGTACCTATAATCCGTCTCTAATGCTTGTACCCCCTCAATACACCCCATCATCACCGGTAAAACTCACGCCACCAAACTACCAGTATTTTCTGTAAGGATCAAAACCAGTGGCCGTTCTAACCCGTGTTATTCAGCAACTACGTAAAAGTACATACTTTAGGAAGTTGTCTGGAGTTCCCATATCCCTTTTTCCTTTGAACAGTTTATCAATCTTCAAACACACGACAATCTTCTGATGATCTAGATCCCCAACGAATTCCAACTGTCAAGGGATGACGCTGTCATACTACCGTACCATTATTATCATACTCAACAAATGTGCCGGTACACTAAGCCTGTACACGGCGTTGTAGTGAGTCCTCGTAACAGCCTCGCTACCAAACTGTAATCGCATCTCAGTGACTTTTGGGTCCGAAACCACCTTTTCACGGCATGTAAAAGTTCACGGACACTGCAGATTCCAAGCTATTCCAGAAAACGGTTCGGAGGAAATGTCTGTGTTCCCCCGAGGAGACATCTTTGTTGACGTCCGTTGCAACCATTGGTCGTGGGCGTGGCAACATACGAACCCCTCTTTTTTTCCGGGCGACGTACCAATACGTGGGTTGGTATGCAAGGGCATGCTGCGAATCAGACAGAACTTCCAATTTAGGATCTACCAGCTGGAAGGAGGCCGAAAGTTTGCGAAGAAGGGAAAATAAAACATCCGAATTTGGAAGATAATAAATATAGGTATTCTCGAAAAGGTATACAAAATTGATCCTTTCAAAATCCAAATTCCCGCCCGTTTTTGTCAAACCATGAGGTATGGAAACATGGAAAGAAAAGGAGAAATAATCACCTCCAGCACGAGGCCTTACCAACCAAACTAAATTGATTGACAGCTTGGCAGCATCTCTCATGGCCCAGGGGTCTATGATTGAGCTTCATCCAGCTTAACGACGATCCGTTTTTCCTTTAGACAACAATTAACCCCAGACAAATACACTTTGCGGCACTCGAATAATCGTCTATTGTCCAAAATTAAAATCTCCGTACTGAGTTCCACCTTCCTCCGAAAGCACTGCCGAAGACAATTCCGATTTTGCGATACGGGAAAACGCTTTCATGTGTTTTGATATTCCTACAATGATACATGCTCCTCACAGGGCTTCCGGACAATATTTACAATTGCATTGTCAATATCTAGAGAAAGTGCAATTCCAACTCGCGAGCATTACCTCAAAAAATATATCCAACCCGGCTGGTTCCCAACTCATGCAATTAGATCACGTTCATGCTCCACCAACAATGCACGATAAGGCATCTCAGCAAGCATCAATCACAATTTCAAGCATCAATCACAAATTTCAAGTTTCAAAACCCCAGAACCCAAGGAAAAGATCCCAAGGGGGTCACCTCCGTAACATAACATTTACGGTTGAAATTTACCTGGTACAGAAACTCCGCTTTATGAACATCGTCGCTATACTTGATTGGGAACATGAACCGGTACGGTGGAACCCCCTGCGTCTTTACCGTCGATGGTTCGAGAGTTACAATGTTCATTGCTGTGCCGTATTCTCCTTTCAGAGCCTTACGACCGAAGTGGTTGTCTGTTGTTTTGTTGAGTTGGTGATTGTTTCCTACCTCGCTCTCAGACTTTTACGTCACGCATCAGTAGCACATCACATCGCAGCAAGGGAAAATGTTCCATTTCATAGAGACCAATCCAGCAGTCGAAAGTTCCCGTCAAGTGGAAAGATATTTGCGCACCTCTTATATTCGTCAGATGTCTTGATCAACAGGTTTACATACTTTGTAGCTTCCGTCCTTCCCCGGGCACAAGCTTTTTCAACAAGAAAAGGGGAACCCAATTTTACAGTATCTTTTCCTCGGCATCTCCTCAGTATCAATCAGCAAGTCCAAATGCCTTTCACAATGCCATACCTCGTCTACACGGAAATCTATTCACTCCTCTCAATTCCATACAGAAATCCAAATTCCCGTCATGATCGCAAAATGCACATGGCAAAGACACCCTGCAAACCCTAACAAGGCCACGCGGCAATCCCCACCGCATCGATCATAGATCCTTCTGGCGGGGAAGGCAGAAGAAAAATGGGATTGATCTTCCTTCCATCTAGGGTTTACCTGCATCGTCCACCAGCATTTTCCTTTTCCGTTCCATTTCCCCGCGTTTTTAAATCTACCAGTAGAATTTATTTTCTCACTTTGTTTTCTCGTTTCGGTTCCCCTGGTACGGTACTGTACATCTCGCCGGCATTGGGTGGTGGGAGGGAAGAAGCAAAGATATGGCGGTACTGTACGGTAAGACATTGTGGTTTTTGAAACGGTGCAGGTACCCGTGGTTGTCTCAAAGCTTGAATTCGTCTTGGATGGACTTCCCTGGCTAGAGGTTTTCTTTTTTGGCCTTTTGCCTTTTGCTTTTCTCGCTTCTCGTACCGTACCGAGTTTGTTTTTACCTTGCTTAATAAATACGGACCAAGTGGCCAAGTATTGATTAAGCATGAGATACAAAGTCTTCTATTCTTTCCAATTGCGAAGGCTTCATTATCTGCTGCTTACATGTTTTGTTCATCTACGATAGAAGTACAGTAACTTGTTCTACGAGATATTCCTTTTGTACTGACGCCTTCCGGTATCACGGGCCGAGTCAAGAATCAGATCGTCATGACGAGTTGATCGTTCATCCTTCAATCTTGGAATCAATGATCATCGTCAATATCAAGGCCGAACGTCGGTCAATTTGTTGCGACGAGATAGTATGTCTATGTCTATCAGACAAAAACATCACTTCGGCCTATTTCATGAGCAACAGTGCTGACGATACAAGTCTGACAGATCTCAATATCAAAATCTTTCGGCCCGTCTGCTTCTTCCAATGTCTAACAAGACTGAACACTGGATTATCGTCTTCTTTGTCGTCGACTCGTCCCAGGAGTTAGGATCTACGCCTAGCATACGGTGGCCCCGACCAGCTGGTTGGTAGACGCTTTGACAACGAGATCTCTATTTTTATTCTTCTATATCTATCCGAAGCCTGGCCGAATTTCGGTTTCTTCTGGAAACCGGGCGGTCGTCGGTATAAGGAGATCTCAACTCTTCGTTTCGCTTCGCTTAGAGTTTGATGGTATGTTTTAGTATTATTTGCACAAAGTATTCAGCCGGTCGGTCTCTTATCTTTGATATTAAAGTCTGAAACTATTTTTGTTTGATGCTTGCTCGTCGTTGTTTTATTTATATTCATTATCATATTTATCATGGGGATGCTTTGATTCAGATGAAAATACCTTTATCAGAAAGAGAACCACGCTCTTTTATCCACAGTCCATCTCTGATTTTCTTTCCCTTTCTTCTCAAATACCCAGCCCCGTAGGTTACGTATACTTGGTTGTTATAAATAATGCCCTAACAATCCTAAGCTCAAAATCCCTACATCTTCATTCACCCTAATTACCTTAAGTAAAGTAACAGCTGAGTGATTTGAAGTATGAAAGAGGAGAATAGGAGTAAGTTTGTCAATTTACTGGACCAAAGCAAAGCAAGTTCCACAACTCTACTCCAATTCAAATTCCAAACATAACCCATCAACATCCCCCATCACACCCCTTAACAACCCTCACCTCCCTCACCTCCGGCAACCCCTCCCACCCCCTCCCCACC